TTGGACTTTGTATTTAGATCTATGAGATTGTGTGTTGGTTATTTGTTCTACATGCTCGTCGTGGTTATGTTTTTGCTTATTTATTTATTTTAGATAAAGGTATGTTCTTGTTTCTATTTGGATGGGGAAATTGACATTGATAAATAGATTTGGATGTTTTATCAACTATCATAGCTCATTTTATGATTCATTTATAGTGACTCAAACTCATGGGTGAGATATGAAACTAATTTCTCTATAAGCGAGTCCATGTTTAACAATTTCAAAGAGTTTTCTTTATCATTCAAAACATTAAATGTATAAGTTATTGTTTGAAATAACATCTTATATTATTAACTTTGCTGATTACTTTTCAAAACAACAAGTTATAATTTCTCTAGATGTTGGTGGCTATTTCTTGGTAATTTATATGGCATTAATCATATTTTTGTTTTCGCTCCTAAAATTATAGTCTTTAAGAAGTATTTAAGAATAGTTTGAATTGCCCTTAAAAATAGCCAATTAAAAAAAAATCTTTTTCAATGACTACAATAATGCCTTTATATTTTAGAGATGATGGTATGTATAAGAAATAGTGGATGGTAAATTTTAAAACTTACCTCTAAATATGTGTCGAGTAATGTAATGTAGGTGCTTCGTAAACTAAAGTTTGGGCTAAAAAACATAATCTTGATGTTTTTCAACTCAAATGCACTTTGAAAAATGCTTTCAAATGTAGTGCAAATGCATTACCAAACATTCTCTAAGACTCTAACTATAATTGTAATATTCGATACCTGTTAAAAACCCTCATTTAATAAATTTAAGAATATTAAAGGCACATAAAAAATATTTTGGTTGCATAGAATATTTACTAGAGGGGTGTTAGATTATTTGATGCTATTGGATGAATTTTCCGATGCTCTATAATTATTTTATATGAATTTTATTGTCTATAAATAGTATTTTTAAGGTAAATTAATTAATTTAAGTGCTTTAAATGTGTAAGAAAATTACTCAATAGACATAAAAAAATCATTTAGGGTGTTTAGGAATATTTCATGAACTTGGTTGAATTTTTCTATGTGTAGGGAATATTTTCTATAGAAATAAGTGTAATTCTATACTAAATAATTAATTTGAAGGCCTAAATAAGTGTATAAAAATGATGTGAATGATGATTAAATTCTTTTAAGAGGTGTCTAAATTTATTAAAAAAAGAAATTGGACTTTGGAAAGGTATGGAATGAAATTTTAGAATTAGAGACCTAATTGCATGACAATTAGCGACCTAATTGTATAAAATTTAAAACTTTAATTTTTAAAATTAAATTATATATGAACTTGACGAGTCAAAAAGTTGTTGGAAAGGTTTTAAAGGAAGGATCTAAAGTAATCAATTGAATAATTGAGGGACTAATGGAGGAGTAATTAAGGAAAAAGGTTAGTAACTTTAGGGACCAAAATTAAGCAATTTTTGGAAGAGATTCCTCCCATATTTTTCTGAATTAAAGTGTATGATTGGGGTTAATTAATGAAGGTTTGACTAGGCTTAAAAGAATGGTTAAAAGTTAGGCTAAATGGAGGGCTAAAAATTAAAGAAAGATTGAAGGTTAAGATTAAACCAATTGAAATGTCAAGATCTTAAGACGAAGTAAGGGCTAGGATTGCACCAAATTAAGGATAGAGATTAAGTCAAAAGTCCATCAAATTTTTTCCTATAAATATGGGTGCAAGAAAAAGAGAAAAATGGAAGAAAAATAGAAAAATATAAGGGAAACTCTTGAAGAATTTTCATAGGAATTCAACCCAAAGTTCTTCTTACCACTTCTAAACACTCTAAACCATCTAATTAAGTAAGGAATTCAAGCTAGAAGGTCAAGAATCATCAAGGGGAAAAATTTGGAGTTAGGTCGAATTTAGTGGAAAGAGAGGGAGAGAAGAATTTTCAAACTATCCAACCTTTCAAAGACAAATTTAAGCTTATTTGAGTAAGTTAATCTCACCTACACCACAAGTAGTATTTAATTGATGTCAATTAATGATTTGGAAGCTTTAAATTGTGTTTGGTTACCTTAATTTTGAAAATTAAGATTAGGGTTCTTGATGAGGAAAAGTTAGAAAAAATGAATTTCGGATAGAAATTTATGCAATTAAAGTTAAAACATATTTATTGAGCTTAAAATTGATGATCAAAAATAAAAAGGATTCGGAGAGAGAAAGCATTCGGCCCAAATCTTGCATTTTAGGGTTTTCAATACTTTACTTGGTTTGATGATTTATCACTTGATTATGAGTTAATTAGCTGGGAATTGATGATTGAGTGTGAAAACTTGCATTAAAATTAAAGAATTTTCCTGGAATTCCTTAAGGACCCATTCGTCCTAAAGCTTGAAATTTTAAGATTTTGATTCCTTTGCTCATGTAATGAATTATGTTGTTAATTAGGAATTGATTGAACATAAGTTGATGAATGAGAGTGAAAAATTTCATAAAATTGAACAATTTCACCTAATTAGTCGAGACCCATATTCGGCCCAAGTTGAAAGAAAATTAGGGTTTAAGTGTTTTTAATTGTTAAGGATTTAATTGATCAATTTAAAGTTAAAAATAGGATGAATTAGAATGAGAAATTGCATTAAAGTTGAAAAATTAGTTTAGATTACCTTAATTAAGGTTTCGAGCCATTAGGCCTAATTTATTTAACTTATAAATGTCAAATTGATTAAGTTCTTGATATTAATGTGTAATTGAGTGAATTAGTATGAGAAATTGGTGATGAAATTGAAAGAAAATGCTAGGTTTAATTTAAGGGTAACGATCGGCTTAAGTTTAGAAATTTAAGGTTTATGCTTTGGTTTGTGAAATTCAATAATAATTTGGTTTTTTGGTACTATTTGATGTGTATGATGTGATTATAATGTTTGGAAGTTATGGTTTTATGGTTATAAAAGTTCATTGCCTTGTATTGTTTAATGGTGCCAATGTTTGAAATGGTTTGGTAAGATAATGTATATGGTGCATTTATGTTTCTAAAACATGCATTATGATGGCATAAATGCATCTCACTCATGCCATGTGTTTCATGCAATTAAAATGGTTATGCATTTACAATAAAAATACATTTGCATGCCAAATTTATAAAAATGGTTTAAAGTCATGAAAAAAGAGGATTTTATGTCAAGGCTTTTCTAATAACAACTAGAAGCGTTTTATGGATATTGGTTTTCATGATTTTTATGATAAGGGCTTTACGAGTTTTCCATACCATTAATGGTTCATGGTTTAGGTCGGGTAAGTGCGGACGTGCACTTCAGAGACTCGATAGGGCGGGTTCGCAAGTGGGTTTGGTTCTCCGGACATATTATGGAAACACTAAAGTACCTATGATGTGACATGTCCAAAGATAGAAAAGATTCTCGGATCGATCATGATAAGAATTTTATGACATTAAAAAGGATTTAAGATGAATATGCAAATGATTTTTATATGTATTTCATTTATATGCATAGGTTAACTTACCGAGTCGTCGTTCACCTAATATCTTATAGTGTAGATAATACGGATAACAATGATAATGTTCACATTTGAGTCGACTACCAAGGGGATGGTGTACCTTGGATGTGGCTCCAAGGTGGACCTACTCCGAACTATAGTTATTTTCGTATTCGGTATTCTAGTATATTTTACGGGTATGACATCTTTCATTTACATGATAGTCAAAACAATGACAAAATGAGTGATTAGTTAAAAAGAAAAAAAGATGTACTAAATAAGTCATTTTTTTTAGTATGTGATATAGAACTGGTACATGTAAATTAAAAACGAGTATGTGTATTAATCAAGATATCGATAGTAAAATAGTAATAAAACCGAGTTAGTATAGGCTTCTTTAAGTTATTTTCTTAAATGTAGCATTTATAGTAAAATAAGAAAAATGAAATTAATGAGACGAGTAATCTTAAGAAATGGTAATTAAAGAGGATAAGAAAATCAATTATCGAGTAACGGATAATAACTAAATGAATTTATACGGATTAACGGAAAATGAATTTGACAAAATCGAGTCCCATAGATATAGCCTATTCGATCCAAATAATTTAAATAAAGTGTTAAAGAGCAAAAAATTTATAGTTCATTTTGAATTAAAATTTAGGATTTGCTTGTTATTATTAGGTTTTTGTAGCTACTTCCATACCTAGAATACCATAGTAAAAACATAATACCTTATTAGTTTGTATTCATTGTACTTCGAATGTAGATCAAAAATAATAATATTCTCAGCCTACAAGGTCTTAGGTTGGGTGTGTTACAATAAAAATATAAAGCATTTTTTGAAATAAAATTCAAAAAATTAAGATGATGTTAAATATAATTTATAAAACTACAAAGCATAAAATGCTATTACATTTAAAATAATTTATCATTTTTATGAATTGAGGATGGGGGGGGGGGGGGGGGGTGGGGCCGGGGCTGGGTGGGCCTCTTTCGTGCTGGATACGGATTATAGACCGATTCCTTTTATTGGGGCCTATGATGGGTCTTCATCCATAAATGATCACAACTACTTATTAGTTTCAAACTTTAAAGTTCAAGGACCAAAGAAAAGTTCTAAATCAAGCACTCGTGATTTGTTTCATTCACCAACCATAAATTCGAGTATGATAAACGTTAAAAAATACATGCAGCAGAAAATGCAGATTTTGTTTTTCTCTGTTGATTTTCAATTTGTAACTTCGCTTTCCCCATCTGATAGCTCCACTTTTCTTTCTAATTTCGAGTAAAAAGGAACAATATATATATATATTGTTCCTTTCTTTCAAGCTACAGTACTAATGTATCTGTATTTGCAAGTCATGGAGCGAGAATGGAGAGAAAGGAGCCATAAAGATTAACACGGCCATAATAGGTTGGTCTATATATAGAGAAGGATCTACAATATCGTAACATTAAACTCAAATGATGAATAAATGAGTAAAACTAATTATTAAATATACATGTATTTAGTTAGCATGCATGAACTAAAAATCAGGCCATAACCGGCATAACTCATCCACAAATGGCATTTCCTTAAGCAATCTTTCAAACTCCTTAAACGACAAATCTCTCATCAAAACTGGATTGCCACTAGCATTTGGCACCTTATCATCAACATCCAATCGAACCCTTTTCGCCCTGATCTGATCCATTGATCCCAATTTCCTAGAAAGTCCTCTCTTTAGACGTCGCTTCTCACCATTTCCAGGAGGAGCAGAGTCTTTGCCGGTGAACTTTTGTACCACTGACTTGAAGCTCCCCGCATCTGTCTCTACGTACTCCGTGTTAATTATCACCACCTTCACTGGCTCCTTAACAAGACCTGCCATGATAACTATTTAGTGAGAAGATAAGTATCTTTGTTTGCTATAGCTTGGCAAGATGTGATTTTTTTTTTCTAGTATCTTTGTTTGCTTTCTTAAGTTATGGGAGACACGCATTTATATAGAGAAGGGCAACCGTTGAGATCATTGAGGGACAAGGAAACTACTAGCAGTACGGACTTTCTGTAGCTAAAAGGAGGGATAGGTATATAGGCGAGACAAGTTGACCGTTGAATGTGTACGTTAAGCAGTCTAGAAAGACGTCAAATGTCAAAGCACGCAATTTGGAAAAGTCAATCATATCTCATGCACGCGTAGGAAGATTCAATTTAGACGATGTTCAAACCACACTACACCATTTTGTTCAGAAATGAGGTTCATTGGGTTCATTCTTGCGGGGGAAGAGACAGTAGATCGAGCACGTTAGATAATGTCAATTAAGCAGAAAAACGAACGCGAAGTTTAAAACATAACCAATACAAAATTACTATTGGTACGGGACATGATTTCTGGTTTGATAAATTAATAATAAAAAAAATGATGAGTTATTATTTATTACATTATTCGAAACATTATTTACACGTAGACTCATTTTTACTATTTATCAAGATTTAAATGCATTATTTTTTTTACCATACAATGACATTTTTATAATTTTTAAATATTTTTAAAACATTTATTATAAAAGTTTTCGTAATATTACACTTTAGTTTTTTTAAAACATTATTTTTTTAGTTCATAAATATTTTTTGTTTCATTTTAGTCCTTATTTTTTGTTTCGTTTTGATCACTTTGGTCTTTTTTTTTCTCTCTATTTTTTAATTAAAAATTTTAAAGTAAAAAAATATTTAGAAAAAATAATTTACAAAATAAGTTTCTTAACTAAGAATCCATTGATTTTGACATTTTTATACCATTATAAATTTTTAAGTTTGTGAATAGAGATAAATAAATAATGTTTCAAAAATTTATGAAAAATATAAAGAATAATCGATTAAATCCAAAAATTTGATTAAAAATTATAAAATTGAATGAATTTTTATTCAATTTTAATTTGATATGTTTTGATATATGTATAATATAATACGAAACATCAAACTAAAATAATTTTATATGTTTTATCCGATTTGCATCGTAACGCGAATAAAAAAATTAGTTTCAACTAAGATGAAATGACAACTTATAATGATCAAGACAAGTCAATCTTAACTCCTGAAAGGTGATTTTTCAATTGTCAACTCCTTCTCCTTTACTTTCTTCTTAACTTTTTATATCTAAATCTTAAAAAAATACGGATCTTTTTCCAATATTTGTGTTTATAGTTCTAGATTTTAGCATCTTGATCTATGTGTTTGTTTGTTACTCTTGTTTATTGAGGTTTGTCCTATAATTGAATAAAGATTTAGAGAAAATAATTTCTAATTAGAAGGAGAAAATTGAGAAAATTCAATGATTGTAGTTCTTCTAATAATGAAGTTTGATAATACGATGTGTATTTTTATGAATTTATCCTGACTAAAAACTCACAATGCAACGAGTCTTTTATAGACACCATCAATTTTGAGATTTTAAAAAATTTTATTTGTCAAGTAGAAATAATCTTTCAAATAACAACCGGTCCTCTCAGATTATTTCTATTTGGAAGCTGTAATAATATTTCATTGATTGTACAATAAGAATAGCAGTAATTTATTTATGATTTATTTGATATCAATGAAACAAGGAAAAAAAAAGAAAAAGAAATAGAAGCCTCATGCGACTCATTCTCTTAATAGTGATACTTGAAATTATAAATTTTATAAATGTAATATTTCAATTCTATTGAAAGTCGGTATCAGCTGAGGACCGGCGGTTTGCAGTCCGCATGATTTAGTTGATGTAAGCATTATAAGGAGAAATTTTATAATACAACGATGATAGCTAGTAGCGTATACGATAATTGTTTTATGGGTCTATTTTGAGAAGAGAGATAGACACATAAAAAAGATAAAAATTACATCTATACCCATCAAAAGTACTTAGAAGATTTTCACGTCTGCTAAATTTTTTTATTTTCTCTTTTTTTTGTATGTCTATCTCTCTCCTCAAAATGGGTTACGTAAGTAGCTACTTGTATATACTACTAGTTACTCATAGTGTATTATAAAATTTCTCTCATTATAAGTTAGAAATCTAATTTCTTTAACGAACCATTCTAGCTTTTGGTTCAAATTAATCTTTATGGGAGAAACCACTAGACGAAGTCAAAGCATTTTCTAATTAACACGGTAAAGTCAAGATAGCAATCGACAAATGATAACCAGAGATGACTGCAGAATCAGACAGATACATGGTCTAGATCCTGGAGGACGAATAAATTAAGAAGGTTCTCTCCCTATTTTCTTTCCAGTAAATTATGGATTAATACCTCAAAAAAATTAATGTTTAATTTAATATTAATTTATTTTAAAAATAAAATTTTTCTATCCATTTTCTCATGTTATTTTTCTCTTTTTATTTTTTAAAACAAAAAATTTATTCAAAAAAAATATTAAATAGATAAAAAGAACTAATTAATAAATTTTTCAAAATTAAAAAATTTAATTTCTTTTGAAAAATATAGAGATAAATTTCTAATTTATTCCTTTTGGTGTGGGTTTGAGGAGTATGAAATGGCCACGTGGAGCAACAAAGCCCACGACATGTATAACAAAAAATGTCGTGCTTTTAGATATTTCCTGTAATATTTTATGAGGTGATAGTCAGGTCCCAATACTCTTGGGGGGCAAGGAACTTGCCTAACTCCAAACCGCCTACCATCACCAGCTGGGGAACCGCGTCTTCTAGGTTTTTTCGTTTTTAATAAAAAATTACTTAAGGTAGACTAAGTTCATGTATGAGATTGAGAACCGTCCCATTGTGGAAGAATATTAGTTTTTTACTTGAGGTATCCATGGACTAGATAAAACAACTGAACTCATTTCAAAAAATTATTTTATTTTTAGTGTCATGTGTTGTGCTGTGAGTTGATTAAAATATATGAAGTTAAAAATGATAAAAAAAATCATCTAATTTTTAAATTTTTAATCTAAATTTTGTATTTAACTAATTCTTTTTTTTCATAAATTTTTCATCCTAAAAAACATGATTTGTTCTTCTTAAAATCCATGAATTCTTAACTAAAGACTTCAAATGATCTAAAAGAAAATTAATCCAAATAAAAAAAGTCTTAGCCCCCCCCCCCCCCCATTGTATCAAAAAAGAAAATAACAATTAATGTAAAATCTGCATAAAAATAGACAAATGAAAAAAATTATTTTTGATCTGTATTTAATGTTAGTGAGAAGATTAGTTTTTGAAAGTATGTATCTTTATATATATATATAATACTCAATAATATTAATATTAAAAAACTTTATTTGAATTATTAGGTGATTCTTTTAAAGCACGATTAATTATTTTACTTGAAAGAAATTGATTATGGAACATGTAAAATAAATAAATGACTAAATAGTAAATTATTGGTGTTTTGTATGTAAATGCATAATTAATTTTTAATAAAACAAACTATTCAATATTTTTTTTATCTCATAGCTATATTGAGTAGGTTTAGAGCATGAAACATAGAACAAAAAATAAAAATAAAAATAAAAAACACACACACACAATTGGTAAGGATTATATTGAATAAATTTGAAGTTAATAGATTAAAATAAAAAACTACTACAAATATGATTTTGATAAGTTTTGGTTATATAAATAAAAAAGAAAATAAAACGCTTAAAATTTTTCATTCTTAAATTTTTTTTTATTCTTAGGTCATACATGGCTAGTCCTTGTGTACGAGCTTCGAGGAATCATTTGTTTTTTTATATTTGACTTTAAATTATTAATTAAGTATTTTGAAAATTATTTTTAAAAAAATTAAAAGAAATTATCCGAAATACATTATTAAACTTTAGATTATGTGTGTGTGTGTAATCATGCTACTCATTGCTAAATAATTCTAGTCAATTGCTATTACTTGAATGCTTAAGAAAAGTAATGATATCCTTGATGAGGCTATGAATCTTGATTGATGATGTGTGATGAGGTGGTTTTTCTCTTAGCAAGAGCAATGGATGAGTTTGACGGTGTATGGTGATCCGGTTAGCTGGTCTACATGCAAAAAAGTCTATCGTGATAGATAGGAGGATCCTTTGATGATTAAGCTAGCGAGTTTTGGGACGGTTTTGATCCTAAATAGGTTGTTTTGTGGTAAAACAAGCATTTAGAAGATGATGAACACTAGTTGTGAGTTTAGAGTTTTTTTTTAAAAAAAAAAACCTAAAGCCTTGAGCTATCCTACCTTTATATAGCTAAAGGCTTTGTCAAGTTGTATAGAAGAAGGAATCCATTGGTCTATTATCTTGCTACCAAAGACTTCGACATCCATTAAGGGATAAATGCCTTTGATGTTGACGAGGACTCGATCTAAGAGAGTGTGGCAACATCATAATTATCATTGGTCAAATAGAGTTAATGTTGACTAACTACTCTCATATGATAGATGTTCAATCTATTATTCCGAACTAATAGTATTGTGATCAATTATCTAGACCTATTATCTAGGTGAGATCATCCGAACCACTCTTAAGAATGACTTAGTGAGGGTTCGTAGTCCTACTTGTAGCTCAACTAGAGTATAATCTTTCTAAGTGTTCATTCGAGTGTGGCCTTATAGGGACTTGCTAAAAATTATATGATGACATGTGTCATTTAAGTATATCAATTGACCTAATAAAACTTGGAAAATGTGATTTTACAAAGATAAAATTAGTATTTAGGATTTGGGTGGGATTTTTGTTATGTTTAAGATAATTAAGATATTATTTTATTCGTCTTTTCTTTAGCTTGTTATAGTTGGAGTCTTTGTTGTAGTCATTTACCACCTATCGATTCGGTATTCATATTTTTCTAGAGAAGGGCAACAAGTAACACTTTTCCCTATTGCATCAAATTATGAAGTAAGCCACACTTTAACCTTA